AAGTAAAATTCAAGAGGCGGAAACGAAATTTTTAAGAACTCTAGGATACACCCTCCTTGATAATAGGAATGTGAATATAAGAGAAAAGTTAAATGTCACACCTGTGTTAGATAAAATAAGAAGAATCTAATAAGAAGAAATGGTGCGAACATTTGGAAAGGACGCCAAATGAGAGATCGCCGACATTAGCTTTTCAATTCACACTTATCCCACAAGGAAGGAAGGCCAAAGAAAAAATGGACACCGGAACAGGTTGAAGCCTAATTCTTAATGGTAGAAGAGAAAGAAGTTTTCTTCATAATCAATTATTAAATATTGTTATCTATGTTAATAAAATGTTCGTATGTATGGGACCTAGAGACAACTACTCCATTGATTTTGCTGAAAAAAAAGGTTGTTCTTAGTATTAGTGTCAGGATTATTTAGAATTCGAAATTTGAATGAAAACAAATAGGAGAGATGAATTTTAATGCTAATTGAAGTTTGGGTATATGCACGTTTCATCTTAGCTGCGCTGGGTCAATGGCAGAAATTTGCAGCGTCGCTCACCGGGAGATCCTGTGTTCGTGCCCCGAAGATGGATTTTTGTGAGAACATGTATAAAACTAGGTCGAATTCAACCACTGGACGAGAAATCTAGCGACCGTACTTTGATAGGTGCACACACACGCGCGCGCGCGTCAGGAGCATAGAACTTGTCCCAGTTGGGGCAATGTCCCGCTAGGGCATGAATAACTGATTTGATTTCGCGCACGTCTCGGGAAAACCTTGCAAGCCGATGGGTACTTTAGCACAGGTGATTCCGGGAGCGTCAACTGCTAAGGTCATAAGTCCCGTAAGGGTAGTGCTTGTCATCGCGTGAGGTGGCCGGGATCTTCCCTCGCTGGATTGCGAGGTACGACGCCGACCTGCATCGGTATGCGGATATTTTTCCTAACCAGGTATCTCCCACCAGTGGGGCACCGCCCCAGTCTGGACAAGCTCAAATCTCCCGTCTGGTCTCCCGGCAAATGTGATAGCGTAGAGCATGTGAGTTTAAATGTAAGTAAGGGGTGAGGATAGGACAAGAAAGAGGAAGGAAAGGTCGCGCGCGATCCTTGGTCCCTTTGTTAAGGTACTGCTCCGGCATTCGCCTGGTGTTGATCGGAGAAAACACGAAAACTACCGATCAATCCAGGCGGTCTACATAATTTTCTTCCTGATAACAGCTGAATTCAACCTATCGAGCCATGTAATCCTGCCTTAGTTTGAACTCGAACCCTAGAATTTCCCAGTCAGAGACACTGCAGACACATCAGTTGACGCCTTGAGTCACATTTGCCGCTGAAAGGTATCATTTCCAGCGTGGGAGATAAACCGCCCCCTCCTGGAGCACTCTTACGAGACTAATTGTCACACTAAAACATGTTGACGTACCTGAAAACACTAACAAATATCAATCAACTGCTGTTGAGATAGTTTTTTGACGACCAATATATTTATTTCAATTTTAGGATATTATACAGTGTGTGATGCAAGGTAAATTATGAGATTATGATTCAAATTTTATTTCAATTTTAACTCGTAATAAATGTTATGGACCGAGGTGCAACATATGTCCTAATATAAAACACTTTTCTTAATAAATAACCACGCAAAGAAAAAAACCGACTATTCGTATATACAGAGGTTAGACCAAATAATATGACCCCTGACATATACAAAATATGTATTTATTAGTGAGATGCTGGGTCACGGTTTTAGAATAGCTGCCATTCGTCGCGGAATAGATGTGTAGTATCTTAATAATTTCCTACAGGATGTTCTTCTATTCATGTACCACAACATCCGCCAAATGCTTCGACGATTTTGGAGCTGGAAATTTAAATGCTCCCTCTGGTCTAAGAAGACTCATACGATTCAATTATATTGAGGTCTGGGGATTGTGCTGGCCAGGGATGTTTGATAGTTTTCTGATGCTCCGCAAATCACGTTTAAACCTTTTTTGCTGTGTGTATGGGCGCATTATCGTCATGGAATTTGGAAGTGTTTGGCAACAATATTCTAGTATTTGTAAGCACTTCTTAGTTGAGAATGTCGAGATATTCATTCGTGGTAATCCGTCGAGTCAGTGTAATGACAGGACCAGCTAAATACCACGATGTATTCGTCCAAATCATAACAGAACCCCCCAATAGGAAGCGAGCAGGTCGGACAGTAGGCTTGTTTTAGACTTCTCCATTTATAAACCCGGGGACTTGTAAGAAATTATGTAAACGATGATTCATCGGGCCATACCACATTCTTCCAAACATCAAGTGTCCAGGTTTTATGATTATAGCGCCACTCTGTATGTAAGATTACATAAACGCTATTTTCCTTTGTTTTTCTGTGTGTGTGTTTGTGTTTTTTAAGATTACACAAATGTACGTTTTCTGTCTCTCTCTCTCTCGTGTCCTTAGTACTTACGTTACGGGTATTTATTATATATTATCGCATTTGAAAGCACAACTGTTTCAAGTGCTAATTTCTTAGTGTCCCGAAAACTAACATTTTTTTTCTTGTGAAAATGCAGTTCCAGAAACCCTCTAACGGAATTATTTCAAAAAGGTTCCAAATTTGTCAACAAAAATGTTCACACAGGGGCACGTTGCACTCTTCAAGTTCTTTAAGTCATCTCAATTTTACCATAGGGAAAAAAACTGAAGATATGACCTATAGCCGCCAACAGATGGCAGCTGAGAAATGTGTGGTGAAAACCAAAATAATATCCTAGACAGAGGAGAAAAGTTAACAAGTAAGAGAAAGTCTGTGCAATTCTGTAGCACAACCAGATTACTTTCTCATCCGAAGAAGAGAAAGCATAGCAATGGAGCACGGAAAAAATGTGATTTTATGATAGGAAACTCTTATTGCCGGACCCTAGTAATGAGAAATTGGAAAATATCCGGTTCCTATATACAGTAATTACATAATCGTGTATTCAGAATCAGTATTTTGTGAGTCTTTGATACAGCAAAGCGTCTGTACATTTCTGCGGTCAACGGTAGAGAGTAAACAGACGATTTCCTACAAAATTTTCATTTCTCGATCGATCAGAACGAATTCGAGGCCCTGCGAGATTGAAACAGATAATTTTATTTTTAGGGGTATTTTTCATTAAGCCTAATCAAAATTGTCGAGTTTTTGAAAAACTTCATTTGAAGCACTTTCACTCACAAATACAGAGCGGCGTGAGAGATCTTTCAAAACAATCACATTTGTGTAATCCACATGCAATTGGAATTCCATTTTAAGTCCTATTCTCTTCCTACTATACGTAAACATGCTCTTAAAGATGAGAAACAAAAGAACAGTTTTCTTCATGAATGGTATGAATATTCTTTGCAAGAAAGAAACCATACATTGTACAATATCAGATATTTGAAATTGGTTCTGTTATAACAAATTAATAGTAAATGAAAAAAAGGTTTCAATGCAGTTTTCAATTTCAAACAAATAGCTCTGTACTCCATTGAAAATGAATGGTGTGCCATTAACTGATGTTAAGGGAACAAAATTTTTAGGTCTTTCAATTCGGTCAAACCTTAAATGGAACGTCCAATTAAATGAATTGAACACTACATTAAGTTCTTTATGCTACATTTTCAGATTTTTTTCAAATTCAGTCAGCCATCATACTGCACTTGTGTATATTTCTCAAATGTTCATTCCAGCATAATATTATGGCATTATTTTTTGGGGAAATACTCTTATAGCTCTAAGACTTTTAGACAAAAAAATTGTATGAATAAATTGCAAATTCCACTCATGGGATTCTTGTAAGCCTCTCTTTATTAATCTAGATATTTTACCATAAGCTTGTCTCTTGATATATGAATCAGTGTTTTTTGTCAAAAATGACTTACTTTAAGGGTGAGAATATATTTTCAGTAAACGCCGATGACTATAACTACAATACTCGACATAGCAAATATATTCATCAGGAGACAGTATCAAATGCTCAGTACAAAAAATTCACATCCAATACATGTTCATTACTTTACAATACCTTACCAAATGAAATTCCATGATTAAATTCGATACAAAAGTTTAAGTCCCAAGTAAAATCGTTTCTGCTGCCCAACTTTCTGAACAATTAGAAACTATACTGAGCATCCACAAGGAAAGTTATATTAATTTTTACAATGACATTTAATGTATTATTTACCATCTGGATTGCATAATTCTAAAGAACCTGTAACAAGAACTGTACTTCAGCTTCTGGGTCAATGACCCCCATCTCCTTCAGGTTTTCGTCCAGTTTCCATGATCCTTGAGCAAATGCTGAGAAAGCCCCTTGTTTTGCTTTTGGACATACATGTAACTTCAAATTAACTTCTTCCCATAGCATGTCACAAACAGTTTTTAATTGTTTTTTACATAAAAAAAAAAAGTTCTACAATTGTTTTATCAACACTTCTCTTGCCTATTAATAGTAATTTTTGGAAAAAGATAGTTAAGAAATATTTTATATAAAATAAAAAATACAGCAACAAGTCACATTATAGGTTCAAATACCTCTCATCAACTTTCATATAACAATTATCTTCATGAACTTTGTATAATAAAATTAATACTCTGTGCCAACTTATATCTTTTAAAATCATTATGTAAGAAAACTTTTACACATTTAAACAGATTTTCGTAAACAGTAAATTGACATTCATACACCACTACTTAGAAGTTTAGGCCAAAAACTTATACTGCACAATATATTGTGTAAAAGGCAATGAACATCAATTTTCCTCTGCATAATGAACAAATAAGCATGTTACGCAAAATATTGCATTGTTCACCGACTACTATTGTCAATAAAGTCATCTAAAGCACTTACTCTCGCAACATAAAATTTCGTCACATACCCTATTTAGGCACATTTTTTCTCAAAATTTACTGCGTCAACACAATTTTTATGCAATTATTTTACAACAAAACTTTAATAGAGAAGGTGGGCGGTTTTTAAAAAGGAATACAATAAGTTATGTAACAAATAATTTAATATTTTATTGTGTGAAGAAAGGCTAATGAAACATTGACAAAAACATCATCAAACAAAACAAGTGTTACATTTTTCATTAACAATAACACATACATCCAAGAATATTAAGCTTTCTACTTCCTTTACCTGATAACGTCAACAGACCAGCTGCCTATAAAGGATCACCATGTCACATAAAACTCATAACTCTTGAATTAAACATTACTTCACTTTCATACTATCATAGCTGGAATGATAAATGGAGATCAGAAATGAATTGTTATGTTACATCTTTTAATAAACTCAAAAATGATGACAAAGTATGCCAACAATAATACATTTTGGCATGATTTTCACCCGTTCTTCCTTTAAAACATTCCCAACACTTCACTACATTATTTTCAATATCTTTTCTTCAATCTTCATCATCATCTCTGTCTGTATTATTCAGTGCCATTGACCACACCACATTGCTGTTAGTATGCACCGTCACTAATGTACTTCCACTGAATGTATTTGAAGTACTCACTAACTTTCCAAATTCTAAAATTCTATCATCTGGAACAAATAAAATGTAATTGTATTACAGCACCATTTTCACACTATAAAGCAGAAGCCTCTTTTAAAAATAAGATTTCCACAAAACAAAGAGAACAAAAAATTGAATTATACAGAATTTAAAATATTCAACACACACATTTTCTTACAATGTCTAATGAACTTTAACTTTTACTTCCAAAGTTAACATGTATGTTTGGCATCCACACTAAAACGGCATTAAAGTCTCTATGTTCACTTCAATTTGTAAACAAATTAAATTTTCTTCACATGATAATGTTCCTTACATAATTTCATAAATTTGGATTTGCTCTCCTCTGAATTCAGATTTAGGGTCTTCTGCAGCGTAAGTGAAAATATATCAACCAAACAGATTATGGCAGGACTGGCTCCATAAGAAATTTGCACTTGCAATTTCACTTCTAGGGAAACATCCAAAGTCCATATTATAAACTATTTTATTTTCAATTGTTTACAAGTAAATAACTATCATTTGATAGTTAATTTTTCTTTGTCTATGTATGTCTTTGTGTCTATGTATCAAGTACGAATCAAATTTTTATCTTGGTTCCTTTCAATTAAGAGATTTTTAATGGAAAGGCTATGGTAACCCATCAAAAATAACAGGTCCAGATCAATCTCCCATGTAAATAATACATTCTAATGAATAATAGAACACAATAAAATTTCTTCAATATATGGTACATTTAAATGTTTTTCATTGCAAACTTTCCATTATTACCAGTAATACCAAAAAGTTTCTAACTGCGGTCCTCTGGATAAATGCCAAATGCAATTTTAGGAAGGCCCTGAGGGAGCCACCGGGCAAAAGTCTGTGCTCCTAGTAATTGTTGACACTGGCTGCTTTGTCTCTTGAAAGAATCAAATTTTTATTCCATCAGTATTTGTTACAGTGGCCACACTACGATCTCAGAATCCAACAGCGTGTGTATCTAGATTAGAGCGACTGTGTTCTCAGAACTCACATGTACATGTGATCAGCCTACCACCATCTTTGAAACCTCTGGCACAGGTATACGGAGCTCAATCTTATCTCTTCAGAATTGTCCTCCATTTTCCATTGAATTTTTTTATATTTCCTCATTTCTATGTTTTTTCAAAATAATTTTGTACTATGACATGTTCTTTACAATTAATCAGAAGTTTGAGTCAATTTTACTAATAAATAGAGGATTTAGTGCAACCTTTCAGAGCTTTTACAATTAAGCTCCTTTAGCGTTTCCGTAGCCAACAAGAAGGAAGACAGGAAGAAGGATGCTGGAGGAAGAGGAAGAAGAACAAGGAGAGGAAGAAGGAGAAGAAGAAGGAGGAGGAGGAGAAGAAGAAGGAGGAGGAGAAGAAGAAGGAGAAGAAGAAGGAGGAGGAGAAGTAGAAGAAGAGGGAGAAGAAGGATAAGGATAAGAAGAAGAAGGATAAGGAGGAGAAGGAGGAGGAGGGGAAGAAGAAGAAGAAGAGGGAGAAGGAGAAGAAGAAGGAGAAGAGGGAGAAGTAGAAGAAGAGGGAGAAGAAGAAGAAGGATAAGGATAAGAAGAAGAATAAGGAGGAGAAGGAGAAGAAGAAGGAGAAGGAGAAGGAGAAGAAGAAGAAGGAGAAGAAGAAGAAGGAGAAGAAGAAGAAGAAGGAGGAGAAGAAGGAGAAGAAGAAGGAGGAGAAGGAGGAGAAGAAGAAGAAGAAGAAGAAGAAGAAGAAGAAGAAGAAGAAGAAGAAGAAGAAGAAGAAGACGGAGGAGAAGACAGAAGAAGATATCTTTTACATTTGAGTTTTTTTCATGGGAAAATTAAATTTCCCATAAATTTTATACTGGTATTTTTCAGTACTTCAATTACCATGAAAATGATAACCATAACTGGAAAAAATTGGAGTTACGTTGGAGGTGAGAAAGTGGGAGTTCTTATTATCTGTTGACCTGGGGTCCAGTATACTAATACCAGTCCTGGTTATATACAAATGAAAGTGATATTTTAAATTAATCTCAGTAGTGAAAAATCATATCGGTCATATTTACAAGATTATTCCACTTGTGAAATTCACACCAATTGCATTGAATTGTATATCTGGTATGCACCAGCTAAGAGAGTGAATCCGTAAAAAATCGTCACTTTTCTTACCATCTTCTCCCAGCAGGGCAATCCCAAGATGTGATACATCATAGAATGTGCTTTTAAGGGTATTTTCAGCCCAAACTCAATAAAAGTAATATTTGGCACATTCTAAAGCTTTTTTGGAGGTAATTTCATTCATGGAATAATCTTATTAAATACAACTTATGCATTAGAAATTTCCACATCAATGTATTACTGTATGTGGCATTACTTATGACAAAATGACAATTCACGGGTTGACTTACGTATTAAGATAAAAGTTATAAACAATACCTAAGTTCCACTTAAGGCCTGTAGTTGTAACTCTTGCAGGAGAACCAAATGGTACAAGACTGCACCATTTATTAGATGAAATTACTGGTAAAGGTATACTAATTTCATGAAAACCTTCTCCCAATCTCCAAGTCAGGGAGTTACGTCCATGAAGAAAAACTGGTACATCTCCAAGAATGGACTCTGCTTTGTAAAGTGAGTTAATGTTTCCAATAATCTGATCTAGTCGACCAGAGGTCTCAACCACAGCTATAACTGCATCAATCTGCAATTATGCAAAAAGGAGAAGCAATTACATAAGTAATTAACAATTAAGAAATATAATCACAAAGCAATGTGAAATTTCATAACAATAAAACTATATTTTCAAAATTAGGAAAGTCAATATTTTGATTATATCCTGTTAAAATAAGTATATTATATTTTGTAGAATTTCTTATATTTAAGTAGGTACCTCAATATTACATAGAAAGTATCATTCAACCATGAAATAAACATAAGGAATGCTGAACATCTTGCAGAGGACTACAGTATACGTAATCATTGTTTTTCTATCAATTATTCAGCTTATTGATAATTTAATTTTGTAATCATTTATCACAACCCTAATAATAATTTTGTTAACAAAACCAGATTCAGTGAACTTAAAACTTCTGAGAACAAGGAAAGAGAAATGCAAGATGTGCAATAGGGTATTGATGGACATAGCAGAAGGCTTAAACATTTCATTTGGTTCAACATTAAGAAAATTCATACAAATAATCATTGAGTGATATTAATTAGGAGAGCACATCCAAATTTTAAGACAAATAAATTAACTTCTTTGAGAGGGGAAAAAATTCATCAGAAAGAAAAACTACATCAGTACCTTAATTTTTATATTTTAACATTTGAATTAAGAAATTATTAAAATCTATACACATCAAAGAAGTTACTTTGGGTAGTAAAATGCAAAACAAACCTTGATTTCTTTTCTTTTGACATACAAAGCAGTTTGATGCAGAGCTTTAGTAAAATCAGTTTCATTTTGATCTGGGGTTTGTATGACCTCTACATCTTTGGCTTTGTAATATCCTAAAACTTCAGATGTGACAGAATCCATATCACCTGTGATCAAATCTGGCAATACACATTTCTCACACGTTCCTTTTTCAGTGAACTCATACCAACGATTTGTCCCACCATCCACTGTCACGTGGACTGCAGCTACAAGTAATAGAATAATGACATGTTTACAATAGTACTAATTAACACAATACTATACAAATTGTCATCAATAAGGAAATTGCCAATATCGCCAATAGCCATAACATGTTCTTACCTCTGTCCCACAAGGAGAGTAAATAATCACGGTTGATAGAGATAGGCCTATTAAGGATAAGTAGAGCATATGCTGAACATACATTTTTCACATCCAGAAACTCAGAAGGATTCCAGCGATGTATTTTCGAACTCATGTCAACGTGCACCATCTTTCATCAGAGCGAAAAATATTTGTCAGGTATTAGTACATTTTATATAACTACTGCATACTATTCGTAACGGCAAGTACAAGCTCACCACGACTCAAAAATAAAGCGTTAAAGTCAGGTTGTAAGACTAGGAAAGAGAAATGAAGTAACTTGTCCTTAACCAAACTTTACACCTTAACCTATTGCTTTAACCCATTAGGCTTGAAACCATGGAAAGAAAAATAGGGCATATATTAAATATCATTGTTTATATACGCTTTAAAACAGTTCTACGTAGTCACACTTTGCAATTATTCATACGTATAAGAGATCTAGGTTGCACATTTAAAAAACATTTATTTATTTTTTTTACAAATAAGGTACGATCGTACGAAGAGATTGGTGGCACGAATTTAGGCGCCGGATTTGTATTCATTTGTATATATTGACATTAAATTCTCACCGATGGCAATTCCAAGGAGCACGTCAATTCAGTGAATATTTGCGCTGAATTATTTTCTCTCCTAAGTCAAAGTAAAAGTCGTGACGTCGTAATATGACACATAATGTCTTTCATTTGTACCCGCCGCACCTGCTTACACTCACTATGCTTATACTCTCTGCTTGCACCTGTCGCACACCTTTGCAGCTATTGATATGCTGTTGTTCCTAAAACGTGCGTATGCGAGGGGCATGTAAGATGTATGATATTAAACTTAAGATGTTCTTTTTTTAATTTAAGAGATCCAACTTCGATTTTTCGCTGAAACTCTACAAAAGTGATTTATTTTATTAATTCACGATAATGAGCGGAAAGAGATGAATTCATACGTTTGCATATTAACCAATGTTGGAAAACATTTTGGAGAAATTTACTAGTTTTCGCAAATCTACCCAAACCCGCAGGGCCAACGCAACAGAACCCAGAGGACTTAAATTGTGACCCCATATTTTTAAAACGAAAAACCGAAAAAACCAGGCCAACTGGAGATGAGGGTGATTCGCTTTGTTAATCTGTAAAATATTTTTGGTTGTTTTGTGAAATATTTGTGGTTTGGGGACTTTTTTTGTATTTTGTTTAGTTTCGAAAAATATATTTACTTATTTGCTTTCTGTTGGATGTGCAGATTGTTTTTTTAAAGATGTTTTTTGAGATGGATGTTTTTCTTTTGGCGATATTTTTGAAGTTCTCAGGTAAAGGTTGTCCTTAATTCATATTGAGAAGGGAGTGATGATGGTAATAAATATGATTAATGGATGTTTTATGAGGTTGTACACGTCTACTACGTTAGAAGTGAGGTTGTGTGAAAGTACTGAAGTCGGTTTTTTATTGCGTCATTCCTTAGCAGAACCGAAAATTTTATTAGTCAGTGATGTCATGTAGTTATTTCCTAGTGTCAGCTAATTTTCGTCCTCGTCCTGGTCTGGTAAAGCTGGTGTCAAAAGTTCTCAGTAGTGTGTGTGTACTTGGATTTTTATTTTTTGGCTCATGAGGGCCCGTCTTCACAATCTCACGTCATTTCGCGCCTTTCTCTGTCGTGCAGCTAGATGTCGCTTGATCGCGACCATATCGAGTAGTGCTAACAATCATATGACATCTAGCGGCACGACCGAGAAAGACGCGAAGTGCCGTGAGATATTACATCGTGAACATAGGCCCTCACGCGCCAAAAAATAAATACCCAAGAATAGTTTGAGGGAGAGATTGTCGCCCAGGTTTGTCACGAACGTTTTTTATGTGTATATGTTATGTGTATGTGTTAATGTTGTAAGTGTAACTGTTGTAATATATATATATATATATATATATATATATATATATATATATATATATATATATATATTGGGTTTAGGGTCTTGTCTTCGATACGTTTTGCTTACAACAATTTCCTGTTAAAGTAAGTTGTCGTTAAAGTATATATGTCGAGCCTTTTCCGATGTTGATGGTAAGTTCGGGCACGCACACGTGCTCATCCCTATTCGGGGTCGTTAACTGCCGTGCTAGGAAATGTGGAGGGAGGAGCTTAGCAACCCCACACGTGCTGTTGTTTGGAGAGGGAAGAAGATGAGGGTGGGGAGGTGGGAAGGAAAGAGGAGAAGGAAATGTTAAAGATGATGGTGGTAGGTTTGTGTATGGAAATGAAAGTCTGGTGAAATGAGCCGGTATAGGCGCGTGGGTGAGCTATTTAGTTTATGGTGCGTGGTATTGGAGGATGTCAAGTGGGTTGCGGTAGTACGTTTTGTGTTTGGGTGGATTTGTGAGCATGCTTTGGAGCGGGATCATGAACGGAATGAAGTAGAGTTTTGGAGTGCGGATTTGATGTTTCTAGTCGCTGTGTTGAAAATACCTCGTCGGATTGGCGTGAGTTGAGAAGTTTGTCTTAGTCTGTAGTGAAGGGAGGCGGCCTGAATGCTGTCCTTAGGAATCGTTTTTTTAGTCGATGGCGTTTGTCGTAGTTCACATTACTGGTGGTGACCCCATTCTCGCAGTTGTATTTAATAATTGGTTTGATGTTAGTCTCGTATATCTGAAGTTTGGTCCTTGTTGTTGTAAGATGTACGGGGAAAGTGCACTGAGCTCTGTAGGTTTTTTGTACTGTCTTGTCAATGTGTCTGGTCCAGAGTAGTCTTCGGTCTAGCGTGATTCCTAAGTATTTTGTGTTGTCAGTCCAGTTGATGGGAATGTTGTCGAGGGTAGGAGCAAGTGGATTCGGGTCAGTACTGTTCCTGTTGAACAGAATTGCTGAAAATGTATGTGGGTTTAAGGTAAGGTCGTTTTCTTTTGTCCATAAAGTGATCTGGTTTATTGTGTCCTGGAGGGTGCGTAGAGAGGCTGGATATCGTAGTTTTGTCACTGTCAGTGCGATGTCGTCGGCGTAAATGTTGTCGTTTGTTCGGGAGGCGGCCGGGGGGTCATTTATGTAAAGGGAAAACAGAGTCGGTGAAAGGACTGCTCCTTAGAGAACGCCGGCGGTGATAGGTCTTGAGGAGGTGGCGTAAAGGTAACTAATGTGAAATGATCTGTTGGTGAGGGTTTTCAGAAGCAGGAGAAGAAATTTTGATATGTGTGGCGTGATTTTGTAGATGAGAATGTTATGATTAATGGAGTCGAAAGCGTGAGAGAAGTCTAGAAAGATTGATGGTACTGGTGGTGATAGCGTTTTGTCTCTTTGTTGTGGAGTCTGGTATCGATGTCACATGCAATGCATAGAGTCTGTAGACCTGTTGATCTGTCTGCCCGGAAACCGAATTGCGGTTGTCTTATTCGTTAGTCAATTAGTGGAGTCAGTCTCTTTAGAATAATGCGTTCGAATGTTTTTCTTAACATTGGCAATATGCTAATGGGTCGGTAATTGTCAGGATTTTTGCGTGGTTTGTCTGATTTGGGTAGCATTATAACTTTTGCGTTTTTCAGATGTCAGGGATGTAGTTTGTTGTTATGCTTGTGTTGAAAAGTCTGGTTAGGAAGTCCGTGGCGTTCAACGCTATGGCCTTCACTCCATATACGTCGAGGTTTCACATGATTTCGCCATTGAGAACTATGACAAGGTGTTCTACGATTAAAAATACCTAAATGAACATGACTGCAAAACTATAGTATTTTCAGTAAAACCGTGATGATGATGAACTAAGAATACTTTTTGTCCATGAGGAAGGAAACATACTAAGCCAAAATCTCTTTGAAAGAAACTCAGTATATTTGGACAAAAAAGTGTTTAATATATAATACCACTAACATTCAAGTTCTCCAGAATGTTCAACATTGCAAGTCATACTATCTTACGTTTTGATCAGGTGTTGGAGTGATGACATGAATTCTTGTTATCAGTGCGGCGTTACAACAATGGGTTGCAATAAGCAACAATGGGTGAAACCTGGTTTATTAAATAAATAGTATTTTGCAATTTGTTTGCGGATAAATATTTGGCAAAATTGCATAAATTAGTGCTTATTAGTAAATGAGAGGAGTAGACTAATATTACTACATTAATATTAGTTAATAATAATAAATACATAGAACAATCAATTTTCAGTAGATATGCAATGTCTAAAGTATGATGTCGTTTAAGTCGTCTGGTGGTGTCACTATTGTCTAGTAAGTTGATGGCTAGAATATTGGGATGGACTGATTGGGGTAGTTGTAGGTATTTTGCACTGGTCTTGTTGATTTCTTCTTTTATTGTTGGGATATGTAAGTCTATGTGTGTAGTTGCGTTCGTTACGTACCATGATACATTTACAAATTTAGAATTACAATACAATACAAAAGGCTATTGATTGGAAACGTTGTAGTATTTCAATATTAGAATTTCGAGCTGTTCCCCAAAGTTGTATGCCATATGACCAGGCTGGTTTTAATATTGCCTTTTACACAATTACTTTGTTTGAGAAAGCTAAAAGATGATTTTTTTCCCAGAAGCAAGTTTAACCTTATACGTTTTAGAGCTAATTCTTTTCTTTTATTTTTAATATGGTTTTTCCATGCGAGTCTTCTGTCCAGTGTAAGCCCAAGATATTTTGCAGAGTCGTTTTGAGAAACACGTTACGATTCGATTTTTATAGATGGGCATGTGTCGTGCTTCAGACTGAAGGTGAAATGAGCAGATTTCTTGTCATTGATCTTGAGGCGCCACCCTCGTGATGAGCTGAGATGGCTGTGTCGTCCGTGTAGGTTGCTGTCAATGCGTTTGCAGATGTTGGGATGCCGGCAGTATACAGTGAGTATAGGCACCTGAATTAATAGGAATAATTTTGAAGTTTCACCATTAAATTTTATTTGAAATTATCTCTCTGTGAGGTACTACTTTGATAAGCCATAGTAAGGATATGGTAGATATTTCTTAACTATATACCACAGACCTGGTTGACCTGAGATCTTTAAAAAAAATTGCGTTTGTGTAATTTTTGAAAAAAAAAACACCTAAATTAACTTTACGTCATATTAAAGAGTGCGATTATCACTATTCGTTTGAAATGTTTGAGAAAAATTGTAGCCTTTTTTGGGAAATTGGCGTTTGAGCGTTTCTGAAAATGCGTATATTTGAGCTAGTTTTCACAGAAATCGGTAGAGGTTTTCTAGAAACTTTAAATGACATTATTTAAATCATATGTACTCATAAATACAATAATGAACAAATGAATGAAAAAATTGCCGCGAGTTGGAGGATACACTACGAGTTGGAGGAGTTTGTCCCCTAACTTTAGCAACTAGATTTTTCCACTTTTTCCTTACCCGAGCCCTGTCATAAAAATTATTCTGCCGAAAATTCGCGGTTTTTTCGCGCAGCATTACGTAACTTTCTCTCTACTGCGTAAGCTGTGGCGAGAAAGGACTGAAAAGCGTATGTACAATGCTGTCAAAGTTAAATTTTAAATGCTGACTAACGACATTGTTTTAGTTTTAAAATGCAACCATTTGAGAATTACTTGTTTGAATACATTGTTACAGCATAAATTACAAATGAAAGGGAATCAGCTGATTATCATACGTTTGTATTTATCAGGAAATTATTTCTTTGAGAATTGAAGCTTTATTCGCACGATTTCAATTATGGCACCGAATTCGTCACTCTCACTCTTAATAGAATCATGTATCGATACTATGGGATTTATTAAGTCGTTATATTGTAATAACAATATGTGGGATCAGCTATTAACTTTGTTGATTAAATTTATATGCATAAACGAAATCAGCACAT